GAACGTTGGTTGGCTGTTGAAGAGGATGACGGGAAAGTAGAGCGAGTACTTCCGGTTGCAAGCGAACAAGAGCTGACTCATTTTCAACATCTTTTTGTGAGTAAGACCGTAAGGGAACTAGGTGATGGTCATCTGTGGTTTTCCGTCGTGACACGCCCCGCAACGAGCCCGTTCACACGAGTTCAGCGAGTATCATGTTGTCTTTCGCTGCTTTGCTGTACGATGGTCACAAACGCCATGTTTTATCAGATGGGAGGAGAGGGTGAAAAGGCGACCATGATTCAAATAGGATCGTTCGAGTTTGACCTCCGAGGCTTTATCATCGGAATACAAGCGAGCTTCATTGTGTTCCCTGTCAACTTTGCATTGGTTCAAATCTTCAGAAACGTGCGCCCGAAAAAAGTTAAACTAGAAAAAAACATAGAGACTGTGGAAAAGCAAGAAACAGATTTTGCTGACATTAGCAGATGTTCCTCCATAGAGACGCTACAGAACGCGTCTAGTCAAGAGAAAATAATTGATAAAGAGGATGGCAGCAAAAAGGACAAGGACAAAAAGAAAAAGGCCAAAAAGGGTCTTCCACATTGGCTGGTCTATGTAGCTTGGGTTCTATGCTTCTTGTCGTCTGTCACCTCAGCACTTTTCACGGTCTTTTACAGTTTGTCCTGGGGACCAGAAATCGCAAACAAATGGCTGTTAGCCTTTGTGACGTCATTCTTCCAGTCAATACTAATAATACAGCCCTTGAAAGTGGTGTTAGTTGCCCTACTTTTTGCGATGATTATCAGGAAGCCGATAGATTCAGGTGACGAGGGACACGACAAAAAAGAAGTCAAAGCAAGTCCCGACGGTAAGGAGACTGGGGACGACGTTCTACTTGACTACGATGAGGATGACGAGAGATACAGGTACGAAATGCAATAACAAGGGATACATTGTTCAAAATAAAATGGAGTTAATCCCGGGTTTGTGAGGCGAATATTTGCGTTGATTTGACCAGTATTGCTCTGATATTCCATCCAATGCTACGAGGAGAGAAACTAAGATAGCTCTCAGGGCTGTCTGCCTGAATCGGAAAGTATGGAGGTTTTTGTTGGTCAAATACAACTCTTTCCCTTTATCAGAGGCAATTTGCACTAGATGCACTTGACATCAACTGACTCTAAAGTACCAGTTCGAATGACACATAGGATGTATAATAGAATTCTTGATTAGACATTATCGACCATTGAAATAATATCTTTGAATTAATATTTTTTCTATCATTGCGATTGTTCCTCAGGCCCCCGGACGAGGATTTCTTAAAAGCTGCCCGAGCACAACGACTGAAGGAAGTGCGCATGTCTGAAATCATAAAAGAAATCGTCACCTACTTTTTGTTCGTCATGCTACTCTTGCTGGTTGCCTATGGCAACAAGGACCCCAATACGTACCTCCTGAGGAAGACCCTCCATGAAACTTTCGTGGACCTGGACCAAACCGGTGTGGACTTGGCTGACGTATGTTTAAAAAATAATTCTGTATTTACATACTATGGTCTTAATTCTTAGGGAGCACCGAGCGGGATGAATGACATGCTGTTCTGAGCTAGTGAGACATTTCATTGGCACAATGCCTCTTTTCACTCAAAATAAGCAGCTAGGTTGCCTAGCAGCGCTTGTGGTCAAATTATAAGCACATTTGAAGATACTTTTTGGAAGGTCAGTTCACCCTTTGGAATCTTAAAAAAACTTTATGATGCTTCTCGGTGTTTGAGTTTAAATTATGTGGACACTGAGGTACACTTCTCCTTAAGGGGAAAATAACCTAAGATTCCCTTCAAAAATCCATCCGTCGAGCCAGCCTCGTGATACAAGAGCTTTTTTACTCTTTCTTCTCAGGCCAGTGATCTAGAGCTATTTTGGCATTGGAATCGTGAGACGCTGATACCAAATTTGTACCCAGGGCTGTTGTACAACAACAAATCGGACAAGTACACTGGGTTCATCTATGACAGAAATAACTACTTGGTTGGAATCTCCAGGTTAAGACAGGCACGCGTAGAAAAAGGTAAGACTTCCGCCTTGACGTAAAAGTCCCTGGTAAAAATACCCGCTGAATCGCCTGGAAATTATCTTTACAAGGGGCAGCTACACACGAACATTCCCTTTTTATGTGACGTGATTGAAAATTAATGTCTTTCTTCCTTTATTCCTTTCACAGATTCTTGCGAGGTTGACGAACACTTCACGTCCTTTTTTGACAAATGCTTCGCAGAATACTCAATGATAAATGAAGATACAGAAGATTACGACATTGGTTGGAAGTTTCTAAACAAAAGTGCCGGCGATGTGAAATCTCGCCGCAAAAGAAGCATTCAAGAACAATTTGCCTTCCGCAAAGGGGATAAAATTCTCAAGGACTTCGGAGAGCAACCCAAAGTTCGGCGCCGCCGTACAATCGAACCCGTTTATACGTCTACTTCAGGTCGTCAGCAGAGAAAACGGAAGCGTCCCGGTAGCACAGCTAAAAATTACTACGTTTTGAACTCTGCTATTCTACCCGACGGATCAATTGTTTCGTGTCCCTCCCGCTGGTTGCACAATAGCGCGTTAGAACTCAGAGGGTATCCCTTCTGGGGACGACTAACCCTGTACAGTGGAGGTGGATATCCCGCGGAATTGGGATACGATTACCCTACGGCACTCACAGTAATTGCTGATCTTCACTCACATAACTGGGTGGACCCACAGACGCGTTCAGTGTTCGTGGAATTTACGGTGTACAACGCTAACATCAACTTATTTGGCATAGCCTTCATGTTCGTCGAGTTCCTGCCGACAGGTGGAGGATTCCCTTACGCGCACTTTGCCGTGGCGAGGTTGTACAGTTATGTCGGACCATTCGCCAACTTCATTCTTGCATGTCAAATCTTCCTGATTCTGTTCATGCTTTATTTCATGTACCGCGAAGGGAAGAAGATGTACAAGCAACGCAAGGCGTACTTCCGCGGATTTTTCAACTGGATGGAGGTGACACTGATCATTTGCGAGTTTGCCATGGTAATTCTGTACTTTGCACGCCTCTGGGAAGTGGACAAGAATCTGATGAAGCTGCACCACAACCCCAAGGATTTTGTTAGTTTCCAATATGCCGGGGCTGCGGACGAGTCGCTTTCTGTAATTATGGGTATTCTTGTGTTCCTTGTGACCCTCCGATTCCTGAAACTTTTCAGATTCAACAAGCGAATGTCACTGCTAGGATCAACCCTCGGAGAAATTGCGAAGCCTCTTGGAATGTTCTGCATCAGTTTCATGATCGTATTCATTGCCTTCGCACTCATGGCTTGGCTGTTGTTTGGTCTTCAAATCGACAAATTTAGAAACTTCTTCAGCGTTCTTGAAACTCAAATGAGCATCGTTCTGGGTGATTTCGACTACGATGAGATGCGGAGTGTAAACCCTCTGCTCGGACCCATCTACTTCTTCACTTTCATGTACTTCTGCGTCTTCTACCTGCTGAACATGTTCATGGCGATCATAAACGACACCTTTTCGGAGGTCAAGTCCTCCAATGATGGGCAAGACAACGAGTACGAAATGGTGGAATTCATCCTATCCAAATTTAAAGAGAATCTGGGTCTGAATCGAAATAAAATCGGAGCTGGCAAGAGCACGTTCGTGAATCCGTCTTCGGGTTTTCCGTCATCTCCCCCGTTCTCGCCTTCGGATTACAAGCACAGGGAAGACGACTCGGTCTCGGAGAACACCGAGCAAAGCCAAATGGAATACGACGACGAAGAGTATCCGACTGGACCCGAACTACACCCGACTGAACTCGTAACTCAAAACGTCTTTCGTACCCTGTCGGCGTTGAACAAGCGCCTTGATGAGTTGACGACATTCGTCGAGAAAAGCGAAAAACATGACGCTAGAAGCGACGAAATGCTGCTCGACATGATCGATAAAATGAAAAGCGAAACAGAAGATGATGAGGTTTACGAACAGTTCCAAAATATGGAACAAACACAATTGTAGACACTTCGGTGTTGTTAACATGCAATTTTGCGTAGTTACAGTTGTGATTATGTTAAAACCGAGCTCTTTTAAATGGTCTCAATAGACGCTTGGTTACAACGGATGCTTGACTTATTTTAATTTAAGAGGCGATAGATCAGTTTTTCACTTTATGCAGTAAGGTTAAACCATTGATTTTACCCCACGTCGAAATGCACTTATTTGGCGAAGTAAGTTGTAAATAACGATAATTTTAGTAAATTTTTGATAGTGACTTACATCTTGCTAAGATGCAAAACTTAATGGCAAGGACCCAAAGTAGTCCATGATTTTTATTTCTTGAACATCTGTCGATAATTGGTAGTTAGGACGAAAATAGAGCAATGGTGAGATGGCTGTAAATCACTAGGCAACACTAAAAATCACAAATTGTGAGTCACAAACAGCCACGGGAAAAAAAAAAAAGATTTCAAAGCCAGCAGAGGCAAAGACGCACTCGGTGGAGTCACGTTAATGCGGCGACAGTTAACTCAAACGACATTTGATCTTTGCGCACGTCACTTCTGAATAACACATTTAGCAAAAATTGACGCTTGATATTTGAGCGTCACAAAAATGTCTTTTAAAATGTACATAGTGTGCACATTATTCTTTAATCAGCGTATTTTCCTAAAAGCCTACTGGCAAAGTCTCGATGACAACTTCTAAAGTTTACAAGGGACCAGTAAGAAGCTCGCATAAAAAGGCACAATATATCAACAGATGGAAAGCACGGGGAAAGTTGTGTTCTTGCAACTATACCTGACTGGCAAAGAAATTGTGTTTTTAAAGATTTGAAATTATTTCTCCAGTACCTTGAAGTAGTAGAATAGGGCATAGTAAATAAACTAACAATGCAAATAGTTCGCTGTCTTTACTATCAACACATTGTAAGTTGGGGCAATTTTTCCTCACATGTGTAAAAATGATCTCAACTCTGTCACACTATAGAACACTGCGCACAAGTTTCCTTTCGTTCTTTATAGTAAAAATCACATTTCAGCGAAATGAGAAGCTCGGCAGTTTCCACAGAAAGTTGCTTTTAAAACCTGTAATAGTACTATGATTACATAAACTAACCTAATTTGATTGATAAAAATTAATTGACCTTTTCATTAATCAAACTGGTCATCATTTAAATAAGCAGTTGATGTTGACTACCAAGACGTTTTTGTCCCAATCGAAAGGGAATCGTTTTGTATTGATAAACATTTGTAAAATAACAATGTTATTGTAGAATTGAGTCTGACTCACACTAATTAATTAAACTAAGAATCTTTGCTCAACAATTGATGTTGAATTTTAAAACGTTTTTGCCACAAAGGGAACTCTTTTTGAAAGATTTCTAAAATAGATGATATAATTGTAGTATTGACTCAGACTCGCTGTTAGGTCAAGTTTGAAGCTCTTGCAGGTACATGAATCCACAATTCTTACACTTTTCTACGATAAAATAAACACGTCTAAGAAATTTCATGACTTTCTTGCCTTTCTCTTTCTCATCTCCACTTCCTTTATTAATGAAAAGATTACAGTTACATGTACTACTTAAAACTCTTCCTTACTCCTCCTCGTTGGTCCCATCTGTTGGAACTCACCGAAAATTTTGTTTGCCTGTCTGTTCTTGGTGATCATTGATGAGTACAAGGTATATACAAAAAATTACATTCCCTACCTGCAAATAAGTGATTTAACTTCTTAAACAGCCTTGAGCAAAAAACTGCTCTCCTTGGTTTCAAGTTATCATTAACATTTTCTGATTTTTCCGAGCAAGCATGAAAATAAATCCAGAATTTCTTTATAATTTAGCAGCAAGTCTGCAACATCAAATCTTTCTCTCAATATTTTGAAGTAAATCTGTAAAACATCACAAACTTCTTCCAACTTTCCAAGGTGAAGCAAACATTCTGATTAAATTTTTTGCATCACAGAATTTGAAATAATTCTTATTACTTGCATGACCACAACAGAACTGCCTTTTTTTAACACAAGATCAGTTCCTTATTAAACCTTTTCATTCCAGTTTGTGATCAAGATGTATCTTCTCCAGTCATCTCCTAATACACATTTTGGCAGGCAGATGATGAGAAAAACAAACATATCATCTGGTGGGTGTTATTCAGACATGACACCAAATTCTCTTTACTAATTTACAGTGAAACAATTTTCCACTAGAAAGGAGAATTTTCAATCAAATCTTAGACATTCAAGGTAATTAGGTCATTACTGTGAAATTCAAGATGTTTGCACAACTTATGATAAGTGCTCACAGGTAAATTGCCTGAAATTACACAACCTAACACCTATTATCTGCTCAATTACTGTGCCTGTTGGAAGCCCAGTTCCCAGTCCCTTAGCATATGCCTACTCTAATGCAACATTGCTCCAATCAAAATGCACCACGGTAACTGTGATATCATCTCGGTAACTGCGTACATCAGGGTATGGTAGACTTAAGCTCATACTGACAGAAAAGTGATCTTCACCACCAAGGGCTTCCTTGATCAAACAAGAGGCTGAGTTTTTCAAATCCAAGATTGGTTCCCTGTCTTGGATTTCAGGGTCTGAATTGTGTTTTTGCAAATTTTCTTTTACAAATGCCACAGCTTCTTCATTGCTAAGCATATCCCATAAACCATCAGTGGCAAGAATAAGAAATTTGTCTGTGCGTTGTAGCTGGTATGATGTCACTTCTGGTTCAGCAGCAAGGTAGGGTGGAGTAAGAAATTCTGCCATATCGGCAAATGATTTATCTCCTTTTGGATTAAACACTTCCTCTTGTTTTTTCTTGCTCCATTTGAATCTCACATCACCAAATGCTCTTAATGGAGCAAGGCGGCCTAAAAGTCTTTCATATTTGAGAGTAGTGGAAGCCTCTTCTGGTGGGTGTTCACTCAGTACTCGTTGAACTTCCCTCGGATTGCCTGACAGAGCAAATGTGAAATCATTAATTACAGACTAAAATTACCTAATTTTTAGGAATTAAGCTTTTACATCCTAATATTGGCATGTGCATTCCCCATGTTGTTCTCTACACATTTCCTATAGCACTGATAAGGAAAACTAAGCTGAAAATCACCAGCTGTATAAAGTTGTAATCATTCTAACCTTCAGTTTTAATGAGCCTAAGTTTGATTCTCCAGTGACACCTTAGTGAGAAGTTAGAAGCTAATTACTTTCTGAGGTTAAAGGGTTAAACAAACTGTGCAACAAAACACTTTAAAATCAAGATTGTAGTTTGCTTTTGGGGAGCTGTTGGCACAGAAGGCCAAAAACCACCTGTTTCTATGATCAGCTGATAGAACGAGTGGGTTAGAGACGACAACCCTATATACTCTCAAAGACACTTTTTCATTATTTAGCATTAAGAAAAGTTAAGTCCTATATTAATCACCCAGACAGTTATTGATAGAGTACTAATGTGATTCATTCAGGCAAAGAAGGCTTTAACCCATTCACTGCATGAATGACCTAGAAGTAACAAGTAGATACATGTAGATTATGAGGTGCAAATGTTATCTGGGGGACACCGTTTGATTTCAAACCAAATTCTCAGACACAACTACAGAAGAAATGTTTAACCCATACAAATAAATTGCAATAGGCCTTCACACATCAAACATGGGTAATGACTAAAAAAAGAAAACACACTCAGAGATCCATACTGAAATTATAAAGCATTACAATGGATACTCTGCATCACAGACTGGCTCTCTCCCAATCACTAAAGTAATCTCAGAGCTCATAGTGACAAAAAAGGCCAATGAGCTGACTGGATGGCAGTCTTGTCAACAAAACAAAATTACACTTACGGGCTGTATGATCAGTAGACAGTTGTAATGCTGACCACTGCCCATCCTCGCTTTGTACACCAAGTACAGCACGACAGTCTCCACAGTTGGCTACAGTAAGTTCAGTTCCCTTCACATATGCCACCAAGGCACAAGCTCCTGAGGTAGCTGCTTTAAATCTGTGTTCTTCTGCTTCTTTGTCCTCCCCTTCAATTGATGCTTCATAACTCAAATCTTCATCTAGTCTCAGAAAAGCTCTAGAAATAGCCCCCATTGTCTGAGAGACTTGTTCCTCTTTTGCATCCACAACTGCTCTCTTATGACCATGAGTCTCCTGAAGGTGCACAAAAGTAGGAGCCATGGTTCCACTGACATCATGTCTCTTTTGTATCCTACGCAGCTCCAAATAGTAAGATTTAAGGCTTTCATAGCAAACAGGATCCTCCCTGTAATAGTAATTACTTGGAGAGTTTGACGCAAGGAGGTGCTCGGAGCAAAGAAACTTCTTCAACATTGGTCCCAAAAGAATTTCATTCGGAAGCAGCGACAGTCCTATGTAGTCTGAGAGGCGTTGAGAAACATTATGAGCACAGCTGCTTCCGCCGTGGCCATCCAAAACACCAAACAGAAAGGCATCTCTGTCTTGCAGTAATTTGGTCACAAATCTTCGATCCTCTGTTGGATTATTAGATGGCAACAAGTTTGATTCGAATTTGCTTACAATTCCCAGCTGAAGTTTACCTGCACATTCATTTTCTGTTATGATATCCCTAACTTCCTCATCAGACATCATCCACGGTTCATTGTAACTGTTACGAGTATTCATTTTCAAGAAGTTCGCGTGGGCTTGAGGTCTGATGCACGAAGAAGACTGCCATAAAGCTATACCACCATGATTAGCAAGCCCACGATATGAAAGAACAGTTGGTCCTCTTCGACTCCAAAAATCATTCGCTTTTCTTTCGACTCTGATGCTACTGAAATGTCCAGAGAATGACTTCTTGACTTCTGAAAAATACGTCGAATTCGAACGTTGAACGACTGGTGGTCGTGGAAGTCTCTTTATGATTCCAGTAATCGACGAAATAGCTGACATGTTTGTCAAGTCTTGCAGTAAAGAACTAATCCACTTTAAAATTACGCTAGTTCAGCAATCACCAAAAACTTCACATTTTCATGCATTAAGGTATTTTACGAAGTCTTGAAATTATAATCCATGTGTCAACAATATCGAACTCTGGTATCTTAATGATTAGATTGCTCGTTCTATCATTATACTACGTTTAGAGTTGCAGACCGTTCTTGTCGCAATCAGCAATTAATTCCAAATTACGCAATTAAGTCTGAGAATGAGCTCACAAATAGAAACAAACTAATGCAACCAAGGAAATTGTTTTACATAAACTCAGCCGCCATGTTGATTGATTAATTACCCATATGCCTTTGCCGTAAACTAGTTCTCAGTTCCACCGGGTACGATTGTTGCGAACAATTAGATTTGCGCTTGGTCGTCCCAAAGCAATGTAATAGAACTGGAAAACTCCACTAACTGTTTAAAATGCAACTTTCCCAAGGACTGGACACCAAAAGCCTCATAACTAATCCAGATATTCTCTTATTTTAACAGTCTGGTTATTCGACTGAAAATTAAACACTTTTTTATTGAATCTGTCAACTTGAGTCATGTTTACCAAATTCCTCATACTTAGGGTCAATAAAACTCTCGGTTAACACACTCAACAACTCTTCTATTTAAACCATCCTCGCAGATCAAAACGTAAAACGCCGAGACTGTTAAATTATTTTTATTTCCGTCTCTCCTCTAAGTAATAACTTTACTGTATACCACAAAGCTTTTTCAATTCGGCAAGTTTTCACTTCTATCAAGAATCTACAATCTTCTCTTTCATTTGTAAACGAAAAAAATTCTGCTCATCTACTAGATAAAAAGAGACCGAATATTTCCAATCAAATTCTCTGAAAAGCGTTTCTATTTCCCATTTGTTTAGCTTTAAATACTAGTTGTACGAAATAAAATAAAACGACAACTCGAAGAAAAGAACGGGTTCAGTCGAAAATTTAGAACTCGTTTAAAACCAAATTAAAATGCCAGTGAACAGCCCTTCTCTAATCTCGTACCCAGATCTTACCGTGTAACTACCACTTGACCGTGAAAGGTCTGGGACGAGACTAGCCCTTCACCTCAACATCCCTAAAATCCTCTCCACACCCCACTGCGAGAGGAGACATAAGATTTCTCTTTTTCAAACTTTATAAACTTAAAACTGGGCTATTTGGTGTTTACATAGTCATTAAATTAAATGATATCAGGGGAGGCAAAATTGAACCTTACTTCAAGTGGCAATTTCCATGTATTGCCAAAATTAATGCACATCGTAAGAATGACGCAAGAACTAACAAAATACTGACTACTGTTAGGAGTCTAGATCTTCAAACTAACCAGGCACTAACATCACTCATGAAGTCCATTTCCATTTGCAACGAGAAAATATTTTGAGTTTAAAATACTGTGCTTATATCTAAATAATCTTATTCTATGATTTGACACCATTTGTCAGAGGCAAAGGTTCTGGGTTTTCCATCATTCTCTTCATGGCAAAGATTGTGTACACAGCCCCCCTGAGCTTCCTTTTGGCGTTAAAAGCACTTAGATGATCCAGAGTCCCCTTCCGATGAGCCGTAGATAACTTTCTATTTTGGGTCCACGGATCTTTCACAAGTTCTGTCGCTGTCACTCGTTCATTTCGATCGACCATGAGCTGTTAAGAAAGAAGTAAGAGCGTATGTCAAGAGGTCGAAGTTAAGATTCTATCGCCCGGCATTAGTAATTATTACATGAATAACCGTTCGGCAAGCCGTCGAAAAAAATTGCAATAGTAATCATCACATATTACCGCAAAGCTTGGAATCAAGATTCGATCAAGATCTCTTACCATGCCTTTTAGCAGCCGCTTAGCACCATCAGATATAGATTTCCACTCTTGATCTGGAAAATTATATTTTCCAAGCGCAATAACTCCGAAGAGTTCACCTCGATTTGTGCTCCAGAAAGGAGGGTAACCAGCCTTCAAAGAAACATTTTGGTATTAAAATAAGTTAAGATATGTTCAGGGCAGTATCAACCAGATATTGAAGACAACGGCAACGGAATTACATTAATCAGTTGACAAACTATCAAAGGTATCTTTACTGATTTAATGTATGCCTATACGTGGAGTAGGAAATGCTACAAATCATGCAAGTGTTATCCAAAAACTACATAAAATCATATTTTATTTATAAACATTTCCTCCTATTTTACAGTAGTCAGTCTAAAATGAAAGACGATTTCTTCTAGTCCAACGAACAAGCCCAACTTTTCATGACCGAGATTTGAAGGAGAAAGAGCTAAATAAGAAGAAATCTTACACATCCGCACTCGTCTCGATTTATAATGGTAATAGGACTACAAATGGAGTTCAATTTGGTCTGTAATCATACGAATGATTGACAAAATCGGGCGACAGCGAAGCGGGAGTCCGATTTGTTAATTGCGAGTAATATTAAAGACAGAATTAGACGAGATGAAGCCCTGCTACCAATTAATCAAAACTTTGGCGAAATATGAGAAAGATATAAGACATCAGCCATACGCTTTCATAAACAAAGACAGCTAACTCGGCTAAATTGGCAACGAGTAAGCATGACGCACGCACTGCCCACTTACACAGAAATGACGTGTCAACTATCCTGCTGCACTATCCAATTACAAGCATGACACGTACACTGTCATAGAAGTGCTTAAATCGGGCTGGTAATAACCAATCCAATCAAGAATTTTGTTAAAGTACTGATTGAGGTTCGAATACTAACCAGCATTGTATAGAATATCACAGCGCACGCCCAAATGTCTACTTCCCTACCAATTGGTTGTCTTGTCACTGTTTCGGGGGCAAGATATAATGGAGATCCCTCTATTGGACAAGAAATGATGTCGGAATGTTCTGGAAGGCAAAAAATAACAACCAAAAAAATCAATACTACACTGAGTAAAGTAAAGCACCACGTTAATATTTGGACGTCATTAATGAAGATCAAGTTTAGCTTTGAATATGTGAGGCTTAATATCTACGAGAGTGCAGATGCACAGAAAGAGTTACGAGTGACTACTGGACCTGAGAAAGTGTACCAAATTTTGAAGAATTTAGCTTGTATCAGGGACTCAGACATCCAAATACTACGTTGATCAAGTCTCTTGAAGGAAATTAGGGAGTTGGATGGTAAACGCGTAAAACTCTGGATTGGGAGATTCAGGCTCGAGTCCTGCTTGGCTCATTGTGTTTCGATCTTACTTGAGACATTTTACACGCATAGTGCTTCTCATCTCTTACAATCAGTGATTTATTGACGCCTCGTCCAAGAAGAGAATAGTCGATTCATGCGTTTTAAAAATATTGACAAAATCTCTACTCAACTCGAGAAAAAACGTTACCCTATACTTTGCCTTTTTTCGTTAAAAGTGGAAAACACAATGACCCCGAGCTTTGGCGTACAATCAATAAAATTATGCTCAAGACAGAATTTCACGAGGCCATTCTCTCAAATTATGGCAAGAGTTGTCCTTCACTTAACTTATGTGGTAACAAGAGATTAAATTCTCTTGGTAGTAAGCTATACAAGTCGATCGCGATTAATCCACTTCTTCAGGTTTTGTTTCTCACACCTGGTAGTTTTTTGGCCAAACCAAATCCGCTGAGTTTCAGTGGAGGGAAATGATTGTTGTTTTCCGCTGACCTCCAGGTAAGAATAAGTTTTTCAGGTCTGATATTCTGCAAGGAAAGTTCTTGTTTAAAAGGTTTCATCCTTATACATACAACTTAGAACATTTACAAAAAATTAAAAAAAAAAAAAGAGTTGATGGCGGAAATCTGAATGGCATACCCTACGTACAATTCTGAGCCCGTGGATGTATTCCACAGCAGTAAACAGCTGTAGCATCGCCTCACGTGCCGTGCTCTCTGAGAAGGCATTTCTGGATACCAGGTCCTCGAAAAGCTCTCCTCCAAACGCCAGTTCTAAGACCAAGTAGTATTTGTCAAAAGCAGGATAGCAGTGATGAAGCTTAAGAATGTTGTGATGATTAAGTTCATGGAGAATCTGCGAAAGAATTCGATTTTAAGTAAAAAGGAACAAAACTTGAAAACTTTATCGGTTTAAAATCTAGGAGGCTAGAATCTATAAAATCTATAGACAAGAGCTGTTGTTATATATCTAGACTTTCACTCAACAAAACGAGCACTGTGAGTGGTTGATTCTTGGTCACGTGTCCCTGATCAAATTCAAATGTATCTCAATCGGGATACAATCGCGCAGTTGTTGGCCGCGCGCCGAATACAACAGCACATGATTGTTTAAGGTAAAGTCTAAATATATAGCGAAGCAATTAATGTATAGTCCCGAGGGAGACCAGTTAGTTTTGTTTTCCTTCGAGTCCTGATGTTTCCCGGGACGAAGTTGAGGGAAACATCAGGACTCGAGGGAAAACAAAACTAGCTGTTTCCCTCGGGACTATACATTAAGTGTATAATGAACACGTTAAACTGAAGAGAGAAGGAACTGCACACTACCACAGCGCCAAATATGTAAAAAGGCATGTGTAAGGCCGTATTGGAAACAGCAACGAGCTTTAAGAACAAGTTCAGAGAAGCCAATGCGGTTGTTCATATCTTGTTCTTGTCTGTTGGCTTTTTAACTCAATTAAAAAACAAACAAGTCAGAGGTAAGAGAGGAAGGAGGGGCTCATTTACTCTTTTTTCTCATTCCATCTCCAAATTCTGCATCTACCTTACATGTGTCTCTTGATAATACAACCTTTTTTTCAGGGACGGCAGCCTTTATTAATTAAAACAATGTCGTCCACTCCTGATTCTGAGCGGTACAAAGACATCAGTATCCGATAGAAGAGTCATCAGCGACATTTCTATATTTACTGAGGTCTTAAATTTATAGTGGTTATTACTGACAAAGCCGCCCAATACAGACCATTTTAATCCTAGTAGATCCGGCCAATTCGTTCATTGGCGTTTTGCCATCAAGAGGTGAAAAAAATATGATTGTTGAAATTCATCACAGCACTAGTTTTTGTCATGATTTTAAGTGCGGTGTGGTTTTCACTCGTTATCATTAAAAAAAAAAAGGTAGCAGTCGTACAAAGCTCTACGCACAAATTGGATCCTCCTCACGTTTCGTGACCGAGAACTATTTTTCATAAACGAAGCGGATCTTGTTAGCATATTTTGATTACCGGTTTGTCAGACGTAATAAACATCAACTCACTCTTAATGACTGCAGTGATCACTCGAGTTCAAAAGGCCAAGTTTCCGCACTGTTTAATTTGCTGATATTGCTCACGTACTTGTCAATCATAAAATCAGTTAGCAGTGTTTGAAATGTAGTTTAATAGTGTATGCGGAAATTTGCACTCATCTGTTAATTATTTTCCGGTTTTGTGCCGTGCGTCAAACCAAAATATATGAATTGACCTTGCATGTTGTTTGTGAGTATTATTGCGCTCTTTACAATAAGACCTAATTACACTAAGACATGGTGAAAAACTTCTGTTAAGTTACCGCTTTAAAGCATTAACTTTTTAAGTTTGTGGTCCATACAAGGTATTTTATGAACAAGTCCGATCCTAAGCCGAAAGTCATACGAGTTCGTAGAAGAATGAGAACTAAACGTCATAACTAAACCCAAAGAAATCTGGCTTTACCATTTATCGATATGCAAACATAGAAAAATAAATTTGTACAACAATTGAACGAATTGAGTCTATTTGGCACCTCAGGAATATAGGTTTTTTTTTCATAAGAAACTGTGGTGTAGCATCGGTGGGGGATATTGTAAAATAATTTGGTTTTATTAAATGAGAATTGGCCACCGTGGACATATTGTAAAGGTGACGTTTGGAGCGTTAGCCATTCGTCAGAGCGAAGGGCTAACACTTCAGGTATAACCGCCAGAACAATTACGTAGACTCGAAGCTTCGAAGAAATTCTTTCTTTTTTTTTTTTCGCTAGCCTTTGTCATTGTAAGCGGCCCTCTCTCGTACATTCTTTCTGATTACACTTACGATAAACGAAGCAAGTTATCCAGGAAGGCGTCGATTCTGTACTCACCGCGGTTAAGCACAGCTTCTGATGCTCACCTCGATTTCATGTTCAATTCTCTCCCTCTGTTCCTGCGTGTCACAGCTAATTTCCTTCACAGCGAAAGCTTGTCTCGTCCGTTTATCGATGCATCTTTTGATTTCACTAAAAGATCCCTGGCCCAAGATTTCCCTAACATCAAACTGGCAGACGAATTCCATAACTTGCCTCCTTTTGCAGTCTTTCAATTCGGTCGCTCCATCTCAAATGAAATCCATGCATAAGGATGTTATCGGGTTAATTCAAGATTGAAAACTCGAAGATTAACTTATGATTATTGTTTTTAACGATGGAAGGCAGAATACAAACTGTGTTTCGCAATGTTTCTGCTTTCTATCGAAATAACTCTTGCGATCGTTCGTCCAAGGAGGAACGTGCGCCGCCGACAGACTTGTTAAAGCGAGCTAATTTAATAGTCATTCAAAAACCATATGTCAAACCACAACTCATAATGAAGTACTAAATAATATTTGATTTGGTTCACCAGTTAAGTACAATGAAATTTTAAACTTAGCATAAACAGCTCGTTTTTATTGAGATGATAGATGGTTGCTGCTTACATAGCTGGTTGTCGAAGCTCCGACGCTGCAGGTGGTATTTTTCAAATAGAAATCTACTCAGGTTTTCATTAAAACGAGCTAAGTAGGGCGGCCTGAAATAGTTTCTTTCCAATCATCGGAGGAACATATTGAGTGATAATTCCAAGTTGATATTACGCTTGTTGCATATCCGCGCGAGTGCTAACCTCGTTCCCATGGTCCCCTCTCTCCCTTCCTCGAGGGAGGAAGAGAGAGGATTCAAGGAACGAGGTTGCACGAGTGTCACGCGTGGTTTACATGCATCATTTGGTGACGTCTTATGGCGTCATTGTGTATCTTGTTTCCACGACGGCAAGTTTTTTCATAAGCTTTTGCTGAACAATTAATATTTGCCGTCGTTAGAAGTTACAGAGCCAGTTCTCATTCTCACAGGTTAAAAATGAAATCCATTTTTTGCAGTCATCATCCGCGAAACTTGAATTTTGATGCGCGAAAAATTTTTGAATTTCACTTTTTTACCTATGCAGCATACTAACTACGCAGTAAGTGTAATCAACTTGACACAATGCTGATGAAAAGCCGGCCCGAAACGTGCGGAAGACACAACAATGCAACGTAATGGCCCAATTTTGTTTTATGAAAACTAAACAATTCTGAGAGTTGTATAGCTCTCATGATTGTTCCATTGCGACTAGATTTGCCACAAGTGAGATTCTCCGCCACTCATACAGGCCATTTCCTCCTATTTCTTACCACCCTACTAACTATTCCACTGGGCCAAATAAATTCATGTATTTACAAGTTCATCTAGATGAGTATGTGAAAGTTTCTGAGGGCATGTATAAGGGTATTTATGAGTATGATGTAAAAAAAAAGAGATTCTACGAGTTCCCTGATTGGTAAAAAACCCATCGTTTTACTCTGGTAAACCCCTGTGATTTACAAATGATTCTCGTGTTTTTCCATTAAAACCGATAGAAAGTTCTGAGAAGGAAGAGGAGAAAGGTAAGGCAGGGTAGAGAGAGAAAGAGAGAAACGAGTACATTCCATTACTAAGTGTAGAAAATTGAAAGGGTTGAAAATTTACAAAACAAATAGTTCAAACCCCATCTCACTTAAAGTCAAATAGAGCGTTCCTAAATCTATCTTTCTCTACACTAACCATGCGCGCATATATCGCCTGCATATTTTTCACGGAAATCAAGCTCTTTTTACTAATTTGTGTTTAATTTATGAAAATCCTTCCCTAGCAAAATGATACGGTTTCAACGAGTTTTCTTAAAAACAATTAATAAAATAAACCTTTTAACTAAGTTAAAAAATTGGAAAGATATGTTTGTATCACAATGTCTATGACGACGTAGTTAGCTACGGCCTCTTGGTTAATAGTCGACACTTTTCTTGTCTAAGAAACGTTCTTCGGCGAAACATCGACCTGAGAGGTTTACAATTACAAAAATACTTCAACTATTTCTTTATGTCCGAACAAATAAACCGTCCCTAAGAATCGTCATCAGACACTCTTCGCCCTACTCTGTCTCTTGCTCGTCCTTCTCCAGCTTTTACTTTAATGTACACAGAGCTTCTGAACATTCGCGATCTTCTAGGTTTCAAGTCTGTTAGAAGGTATTCCTTTGGCGATTTAGCTACATCATTGTCGCCTCCATTGACAGTTTCGTTAATTTTTTCAAGTCTTCTTTCTTCTTCGTGTTCTTTATTTGACAGCATTTCTTGCACCTCTTGTTCCAATTCTGGGTCAGGTGTATATGAAACCTTCCGCGTCAAACGAACTACGTTTTGGTTGGGTGTGAAAGTTAGCCTGCAGTAGAGAACAATATTGCAAAAAAACTTCAACACCTCCACTCCCAAGATCTCATCAGTAATTCTCCTTACTGTTACTCTCATGTTGTCATTTCGGAGAATTTGGTATTGAATAAACTAAACTCGTGAGTCACACCCCTGAAAATCATATGATCCCTCTAAAAATCCTCCTTCCCCACCCGCCGTCCTCAGACTCGTTCCTTATTCCCAAAATTGTGGATCTAAGCACCTAGCTTATGAGGAGATTTGGCATGCAGACGACAAAAGGTCCACTGCTGACTTACCTATTCCTGGCAATAAGCCCCAGCACCACTCCCTTGAGTTTTCTTCTTGCATTAAAGGCTGTGAGTCGGACGAATGTCGTTTCCTTATGAAGAGAAGGGACGAAATCACCTTGAGAAATCCAGTCGTGACGAAGAGCTTGAGAAGCTGTTATTCTGTCCTCAGGATTCACTGTTAACTGAAAGATGGCAAGTTGATTTTAATGACAAATCTGGATTCAAGATGTTAGAACGAATATAGTGTTAAAAACAGACAAATTGAGTAATCAAGCCTTAAGTTCTTCGCGTCTGTTATACTTCGCCTTAATTTGTACGATGAGAACCTGCTGGTGAGCTCCACTATACAATGTTCAAGGCCAGGCCCTATACTAAAATTCGCAGTTATCTGGATCTGAAGTTTTTACAAAGAGGCAGAATATCGCGCTTAAATCTCGAAAGCTTACATGTACACCTTAAACGGACTGTTAAATGCCGGAACGACCAGGTCTTGAACAGCCGCACATCAATATACATGCACTGTGCTTGGCATGAGCAGATTTGCTTTTCAGAAGCCGTCTTACCATTTTGCTTATGAGATCCTTAGCCGAGTCGGAGACTGAGTCCCAGTATGGAGAAGGAAACGAGTAGTTCCCTTGTAAAATGCTAAGAAGGAGAAATTCCACTCTCTGATTCCAGAATGGGGGATACCCAACCTAAAAACGTGACAAAAGGAAATTTTGTGAAAGTATGTCAAAAATCCTTTACTGTCCTTTATCCAGGCTGTATGAAGGCCTATTTCGTTTTTCCCTGTGTTTTTACAGCTAACAAGTCTTGGTTCATGAAAACGTAGATGAAGAGCCAGGCCAATATTCAGGAACCTTGAAAACTTAATTTGTTATAATAAAATGCGTCAATTCTCGACCACTATGTGATTTCTGCAGGTCGTGATACTTACAAGTAGTAAATAAAGGATGACACCACAGGCCCAAATGTCTACAGCACCATTTACTGGCCTCTCCATTATAGTCTCTGGTGCAAGGTACATTGGTGAGCCGCTACCGTGGCAATCAACCATTTGTCTTCCGTCTAAAGAGAAATTTAAAAAACAGTTTGCAGTTATATTCAACTGAGTGTCCAAAGAAATCTGGGATTGCATTGGTTTTACCTCAGAACCGTCAGTGATTGGTCTAGGAAAGCATTCCATTAACCAATCAGAAGAAAAATCAAACCAACCGCGACTTGGTCACACCCGATTTCCCGCGCCTTAGTCCATATGCATCTATATATTTTGATCTATGATTGGCTCTTTGTTCTCATTGCGGTCTGTTTTTTTTTACTGCGGTTTTCAATAACAGAATACAATTTTTTATTTACTATTTCATGAAAGCAATATTTAATTCACCTTGTATCCTTTTTGCAATTCCAAAGTCTGTGAGTTTGATAATCGGTGGACGGTCCACTTCTGGTTTCTCGGCCAACAAAAGATTCTCTGGTTTCAAATCCTACAAAATAAGAGGGAAACAATTCGACTAAGAGCTCGAGGCCTTGAAGCAAGTTCCAAGCCTTCGATTAGTAAAAAAAACCGCGATGGTGAACTGCGTTTTTGTAGCGGGGGAGTTAAAAAAAAGAAAACAGAGAGTTTAGGGTGTGGTCGGGTCGTATATTAAACTTTTAATCCTCAAACTGGATAGTTTTAAAGAACCTTTGAGCAGCTAACAATTTCTGTGACCTCATTGGCCAATTGCACGTGGAACAAACCGTGAATGTCGTCTTTCCAGCGCTTTACGCAGATCGTAATAATTTTTTCCTGAGTCCTTCTCCGCAATCCACTGATATTGTACAGTATTTTTGCATGAGAGATATCGTACACATGAATTAAGCTTCTTTGTTTCCTTTTAAGGAATCTAGTGTAAAGAGGTTGAATATTTAACTTTTAAGGATTTATCTTAAGGTATAAAGAATCAAGATCATAATAATCCTCACCCGATGAATAATCCCTTTCCTTGACAAATAGTGTAGTGCTCTGATGATCTGTTGGGCACAAGCGCATGCGTCCTTCTCGCTGTAAAAGGGTCTAGATACCAGTCCATCGAAAAGGTCCCCTCCAGGTAAGTATTCCAGCACCATGAGCACTTTTCCATCAGCATAGAACACTTCTTCCAGACGAACTATGCTCACGTGATTTAGCTCTTCTAAGATCTGTCGTCAGATACGTATAAAAACAAAAGGTTATGGATACGAGTCAGTCATATAGTAGCGGAAGCTTGTCAGACGAGTCCACGAATGTTTTTATTATTGATCTAATAGATCCTGTGGTAAAAGATCTACGATCTTTCTTTTGATCGCCCGCTTTTTCGCTAGTCCCTACAAACTAACAGGAAGAGGAAAAAGCCACAGTAGTTAAATAGGATAAGCTCGAGAAAGAATATGATCGTCCAGTCTTTCAATGCGGCACACCTGACGCGGCGTCTGCCTGCCGCAACAAAGAGACCGCCGAATGAAATTGCACAAGGGAGGTATCCGTCATGGACGTATGAACACTTTGAAAACAGATATGTGCGGCGAGCAATAAATGTTTCTGTACAACGTGATGAAGTAAGAACAATAGAAATAATTAAAATTGTAACGTTAAAAGTATAGGAGAAATTAAACCCACAATTATCAATGCTATAACTGATAGTTTAGTGCTAATTGGGTTAAAATTACATGAAGATTGCTTTCACTCGTTTTGCAAATAATATTGTATCATGAGAGTCCAGCGGTTGCGTCGATTAAGAATATGATCTGCAACGCACGCGATTCAGTTAACTCTTAAAGATAAATTTTCTTGGAGTAAATATTTTTTGGAGTGAAAATTTCTGAATGCGGGGAGTATAATATGTTTGTATACATCCAATTGATTTTTAAATCGGCTTATTTCGAAGGCGATGAAAAACTCTAGCGAATTTTTTTAGTATTTTGACATCAACTATCGTCATCTTTTTTCCCTGGGTTCTGAATAATCGATCTATAATACACCCTGTTTTCCCGAGCAATTCACCTAAATTCCTCGTACTTAAGCTTTCCAAATGTTTTAATCCTATTTGTAATAAACTTAAGAAAATAATTGGCAATCTTTACAGCAAAATCTAAACAGCCTCACCAAAAAATGTAAGTCACAAAGAGAGCCAACTGATGAAAGAGAACCAAATCAATTCGATTAAAAATAAGAGAAAATTTAAAATGTGGAGAAACAGCTGCATTTTCAGTTTACATTTTACCATAAAAAAGCGACTACTTTTGATGTCTCAATAATGTCATATTCCGTTTGTTTCATGGTATTTCAAGTTGATATATTTTTTAGCATCACTCTGAGAAAAACAACCTGATGCCTGTTGGTTTAAAAAATGTTGGTGTAGAAAGCAAAAGCTGTTGTCACAAGAAACATTTAATGATGCGTTAGCTGACAGGCAAAAAAATGGTGAAGTTTTTTAGACACATCAATCAAGTGTACATAGTTATTCAACTGAGCTAACGGCTAGAAATTGGACGGAATCTCAACAAAGCAGTGTCAGTTAACTGTAAGAGACCTCAAAATACAACTGAATATTTCACACGGTATTTTAGCGCTAAAATAAACAACAGAAACGAAGAGGGCGCACGAATTGCTAAGAGTTTTGCCGCATCCCATCTAAGTTTTGAGTTTTATCTGAGAAATATTATGTTTATTACGCGATCAACCACTATCTGTGATTGCATCACACTGATGCCATTTCTTAAGTCGATACCTATAAATGTCTACTAAGCGAAGTATACATGAACAGCCTAAAGCACTCTTACCTCCGACTCATTTTCTACTTTCTCTCTGTGTTCTGCATCTTCATAATGAATTTCCTTCACCGCGTACAGCTGTAGTGTCTTACGATTGACGCATTTCTTCACTTCAGCAAACGACCCTTTCCCGATGAGCTCCTTGATTTCGTAAACGTCTTCGAACTTCATGTTTCGTTTGGCCGCAGGAAATTAACGAGCTAGCTGTTCGATCTTATCCACTGCGATGGGAAAAAGGACAAGTCGTTGGTGCAACTCAGAATGGACAAGCGCGAACATTCAAAGGAGGTTTTCTTGGTTCGCGAGCAACATCAGGTGATTAATACCCGAAGAATGTAGCTATCGGAAATAAAGCCATGCACAAGTTTACACTGTCCCTGATTTTCTCGAATATATTAACACATTGCTCTTTTGTGCGCGTAAATGTTCGCTTTTGATTGATTGACAAAGCCTTAAACAAAAATCAAAAGAGTTGTTTGTTAAGTGAACAAATATAAATGACAGCAAATGCCAAGTTCGTCGCCCATATGAACTCACATCTTTTTTTTAAGACTCCTCGCCTGATAGCAAAACACTTCATCAGCACCATGTTTTAGTTCCACTACAGCGTAGGATCCCACAAGCATTAAAGAATGCTTTAATTTCAAAAATAGGGCAAAATAGTGATAAGTATTGAGAAATTATCTTGAAGCTGTCAAATGGAGTCGGCTCTAGTTTTGAAAGCCACCTCTAATTTGAATTTTATTGCTTCATTCGGCTTTTGTTCTGGCACAGAGCATTATTACAGATTTTTAATTCTCTGCGATTTGATTAAAAGTTCAAACAAGTTGTGTTTCAAACAGCCGCAGCGCTTCTTTAAAATCACATTAAGCTCCAGACCGAAATTAATTATTACAGAGGAGCAAATTAATCTGAGGAGTTAATTACAAAATAAAAGCGAAGCTGACGGACAGTTACAAAAATTAAGTGCGCAAAAGAAAAAAAATAGTTGCAACCAATTTTCCACAAGGAACGAAGGCGCTTCTCGAGAGATCATCGAAAATCGACCTAACAGTAAAACTGACTGGCGGTAGCTACAATCCGAAATTCACATATTTCAGTTAAGCGAGGGACTTGGGGCAGAGACAACCGACTGAAATAGTTAGTGTGCATACGCAGTCTTCGAAAGGAAAGCGGTTCTCCTCTACTGTCAAGAAAAAAAGTAACAACGTTAATAGCCCGTGTGTCACTGGTGGAATCGTTCGCTTTAAGTAAAAATTTGGCCAAACCGTTTACATAAAGTGTCACAGAAGAGCAAGGCAGTTCTCGGGCGACTTGCAAAGATTGTTAAAGCGCAATTCTCTATCTTAAAGTTGCTCATCCAAGGAGCAAATCCCATGAAAGTCAAAACCCTTAGCTATACTAGCTAGAACAATTGCATTTTCTGTCAACGAAGTCATCATTTTGTTGGCTTTCAGTTTTAACGTCAGTCATCACTACCGACAACGGTCTTTCTCAGGACCACCCTCATCAGACAATCAAACAATGCGATCAAATGTTACCCCTGGGGTTAAACCATTTATCACAAGTTAAGACTTGCCCAATCATGTACAAAGAGTGGACAAAATGGTACGTGACAACAAAGGAAATATCGATCATTGGTAGTTAAGGACCAAAAAATACCTTTTTAAATTTTAAATTACCGTGGAAGTTAACGAAAGTGTTTGTGTCGCGAAATTTGTGTGCAGACTTGAATCTTTCCAAAAAAAGAAAATTGCGCTGCGAAAAGACAAAATAGTTCCAGGAATTGATGTGAAGAGCAAGTTATTCTTTGTGGCAGATACGAGAAACCTTTCTTTCATTTGAAAAGTCCACAGAGGAGGTTAAGTGTGTCCTTCCCTTTTATTGCCTTAACGATGTACCGTCCCTCTTCCTATCGTTTGGACGGTTTGTTACAAAACGTTGTTGAAATACTTAGAAATAAACCCAATTCCCCATCTCTAATAACGTTTCTATTCACTACTCATTTCCTTTCACTTCCTTTCTTGGACATGATTACCAAACATACCAAACCATAGGAAAAAAGTGCACTGTGATTACTGGGGAATACCTGTTATATCAATCATTCGTTTTCTAAAAACGGTATCCTGTTCTCTAGTTTGAATATAAACAATCTATATGACCTCTTGTTCTCCACAATAATTGCTTTCTAGAACTTCAACAAACAGTAGCAAGGAGCAGGGACCTTGCTTTTTCCATCCAGTTCCTCCAGTTCAACGATCAAGACACACTCTAACACTTCCCCACCAGCATCTTTCACCAGTTGACAAGCTGCTTGTAGAGTGCCTGTAACAATGTTTAAAATTCTTATATCAATTTGTTTACTGTCTTGTTTAGTTACAAGAGCAATTCAAAAGTAATACCAAACATGATTGCTTTTGGCTTTTCTTTACTTTTCTCAGCAATTGGTCCAAAAGGCTTGCACCACTTTCTCAAACAATCAGGTTTAAAATTAAAACTAATTTGCAACTTGGTCAGTTTTCCTGTTTCAAATTCAGTTCTGATTGGCTCCTTGTGCTATTTTCCTTCATTCTGATTGGCAGTTGTGGTTTTACTTTGGTTAAGGTTCTTCACTCAAATGAAATCTATGCTTAACCCTTTCACTCCCGAGATCTCACCATTAATCCTCCTTACTATCTGCCATAAAAATTTATACAATGTTAACTTGGAGAATTTGGTATTGGATCAACTAAAATCCCCTTATATCTATTTTTTGTTATTCTCATCACTTGCGTGCTTGATATTGCACTGACAATGTCAAGAGAAATTCTCTCTTGGTCACTCATGGAAGTTAAAGGGTTAACTCTATGATTCTGTTGGTCTGAAAAAACTCATCTACCAGTCTCAAAAAAATCAGAATTAAAACTTAGATCTATCATCACATGGTCACTTTTGTTTGCCCACACCTAAGGGTTTTATCGGATTACTTTGTGTTAGTGATACAACACTTACTCCAAATGTACTCTTTATGAAATATTCATTCCTTACCCCCCGTGGCAAGCAGGTCATCAACTATGACAACTTTTTGGCCTTTCTGGATGCCATCAACTTGCATCTCAAGAACATCCTAAAAATGAAAACTGATTATTAAATAAATATTCATATTAGCATGAATTTGGTTGGATGACAATTTCTCAATCATAGGAAAGTGATAATCACTTTACGACTAGTGTAAGAAGTGTGGTGTGGTGGTTAGCTTTCCAGACTTCTGCTACACACATCTTTGTTAAGGCCTTTGTGAGTTTGTTTGGTTCCCAGCAAGACTCCTACAAACTCTTATGATGAAATAGCAACTCACAATAAAAATGTCAATGTTTTTCTTTTCCCTTTCTTTTTTCTTAGTGTTACTGACACACAGACTAGTCCTACCAGTCATGAGCAACATAGGTTACAAAAACCTTTGACAGCACATATTAAAATTTCTTTTTTTTAATTCTCACTTTGCCATATTCTTTTGTCGAAGAAACCTTCACTGTTGGCCCAGGCAATTTCCCAGATTTACGGACTGGGACAAAAGGCAAATTTAGATTCAGAGACAAAATAGGCCCAAATAAAAACCCTCTGGCATCAAGACCTGCAAAATATACAGCAAAAATCATAAAAAGATAAACAGAAAATATCTCTGATAAGTTTATAAGAGCATAACAAAATCTAAAAATATTGGCTTGGAAGTTCCCTTTTCTTCTCATCTCCTTATAAACCAGACTTGAGAGCATTACAACAGAACTTTACATAGACAACTTTTTTATTCCAGTATTCAGTTTATTTGCTTTGCCGAGGGACCATGAGGCTTGATGAGTTTCAAGTAGGCCTCCTAACAAAACAATTAAAATTGCCAAAATTACAAATAAAATCACTCATAAATAACATTGTATCATTCTCTGAGATTTATATCAGAATATAATTTCAATCTCAGATACTAATGTCCTCTTAACAGGCTACTTTTCTCAGTGTGTGCCTGAAAGACACTTGACAGTCATAATACCATTGCCTTTTGTCTGAACTTTCCATATTGTAAGTGATGCATCCCCTGATACCTGACACTGCAATTAGAGCACTGGAAAAACTCCACTAAGTTCTAACATAAGAAGATTTTGCACGAACCCACAATAGCATCAACGCCTGCAAAGTTTGCCTTTATGTGCTCAGTCAAGATGTCAGTAACTGTCCTCAATGCATTGCAATCGTACAAAACAGGGCAGATGTCCCTGAAGGGAAAAAAAAAACATTCAGGATTAGATTAAATGTGATTTTCGTTTGGTTCCCGCTCAGTTCCATTCTTCATTATGCACACTATTATTGGATAACAAAAACGATAATGAAAACAATAGATTGCCTTTGGGATTACGGCTTTGTTTTGGAATAGTATGATGTTATTCGGAAATGTTTCCGTGATCTTTTTTCCTGCGCGGAAAACCCCATCTACACGTCACACGAGGAGATCGAATGACGTCAAATGTGAGGTGTATGTTACTGCCATTAACTAAACAAATTTAAGCCCGTCTTGAACCGGTTGGACACAATTGAGAGTAAGTTTAAAATTTTATTTCGATTTGTGTAGCTAAATCAGCGTATTCTGCAAATAATTCAGCGCATGAGGTTTACTACACCAGCGAAACAAAACGTGGAAATATCCGTCACAACATTTAAAAGAACAGTACCACTCTTGAAGCACCAAATGAGTTAGACATGCACTGTTTGCCGCTTGAGTGATCTTCTCCCAACAAATTTGCATATCTTAATTTAAGAACAAACTTACCTAAAAATGATTCCAGGTATAGGAAAGTCTGGGAAAGGTCTGATGAGTGATTTAACGTACTCTAGAGCCTTTTCCTGATCGCTGTAGTTTCCCGAACTTGCCATGTTACAACGCAAAAGTAAAACCGGGCAACACTCGAAGGAGTCTGGCGACTAGATTCCAGTTCTCCCCGATCATGACAAATTTCAGAAATGCTGGAAAATTTTTGACACAGGTTATAACGTTGTAATTCCTCAGTTGGCATTAATGCAGATACACTCTGAAGACCTTCCCAACCACCTCGCACAATTGCGCATCACTCACGAGTTACCACTGATAAATATCAAACTTTGGTGAATGAATTTACCAAGAAGTTTCAACAGCCAATCAGAAAATAGATGAGTTTCACAATTTCAAACAAGCTGCTTGAAGCTCCGGAAATTTAAGTGAGTTTTGGTTTTGTCGCAATTGGTATAGTCTATCACGTGACTGGTTGCCCAAGTTACGTGTTTTTTACCACACAATCACTAAGAGAAAAACAGAGCATTTTAACGATCATACAAATTCCTCAAGTGATACCCGAAAGAGCCACCCCTCCCTTTTTCCATCCTGTGTGAAGGATGGAAGGATAAACTGTTGAGATTCATATAAATCGAGAGACCATCATTTTATTGAGCGATTAAATTCACATAAAAGTAGGGCTCAAAGCCTATCATTGAAGCCTCTCATCATCTAGCTATCGCCTAGAGTTCCAGAAGAAAGTATCTTCGTCGGTTCGGCTGGTAAATATATCATCTCCTAAAGAAGCCTTAAGGCTCTCCTGTGTCTATTAGTTTAACCAACACTCATTCCCAGGAGGGCTGCCCTGTCTAAATCGCTCTACCAAGGTAATGTCTTGCCAGTATAATCCAGGAATCCTCCATTCTTTGACTCGTCTAAAGAGCCGATGACTGTAATCAGCCCATCAACCGATTCCTTAATCGTTAGCGAAGCATTTGATCCTCCCATGTCCGTTTGAACCCATCCTGGATGTAACGCAACTGCCATGATCCCCTCGTCAGCTAGGTCGACGCTTAAAGATTTCGTAATCATGTTCAATGCCGCTTTGCTCGGTCGATATGGGTACATCGTACTCCACGTGTTATTTGTTATGGAGCCAGCTCCAGATGACATATTGACAATGAAAGTCTTAGAAGAATCGTCCTTGTTTCTTTGAGATACAGAACGGCGAAGAAGAGGCAAGAACGCTTTGGTCAACATCAACGGAGCAACGACGTTGGTTTTATAAACTTGAATCATGCCCTCAGCGGTTACAGCATCCAACTTACTCCTGTCCATAATTCCTGCGTTGTTTATCAACAAATCTAAACCGCGATTCTCTAATTTACTATCCACTTCTGAAACAACTTTATCGAAGCTCTCGATGTTGTTGACGTCCAATTCTAACATGTGAAGATTCGTGTTCACTTCGCTGAGCGATTTCAGCTCTGAGGCTGTCTCTAAAGTTCGATAAGTGGCAAAGACATATTCTGGAGGATGGCAAAGGCTTAAAAATCGCTTGACGAGTGCTAATCCGATTCCCCGATTGGCTCCTGTTATGAAAACAGTTTTGAACGGCCATAAGGTACTGTTGCCGTCTCCCATGATGATTCCCACCGCACTCATGTAGTTTCAAGTGATGTCACATAAAACATTTCTCGTTCTTTTATTTCCCTCTTATCGACGGGGGCGGGAAGGGAAGATGAAGATATCGCGTTTTAACTGAGACACTCTCATTTAATGTCGACTCTATGAAAATTTTTGGCAATAAAAATGGATCATTTGTGGTGTTTCATATGAATTTGGTTGTTTTTTTTTTTGTTGTTCATTTTACATTCCCTATTTAAAACGGAGCACAAACGTATACGAACACCACCCCCTACCGGATATTAATGTTACCTGGAATAGAGGCTGCAAAGCATATCGGGTAGATCAAAATGGCGGTACAAGCAGCAGCTCAAAGCTACAGAAATCTGTCTTTGAATGATATTTTTGGACAAAGGAGGGGAGCATCAAGAGATGAAGAATTAACCAGGGATCTATCAGCAAATTTTTTGAATGAATGCCGATTTGCAGTTCCTCCTGGAACCGATGTAAGTCCATAATTTCTTACTTCTTGGCAAATCTTGAAAATGCTTCGTCATCTACTTCAGACAATGACGGGTCCCAGCTTATGTCTATGTGGTCCCTGAAAATACTCATTTTAGAGGATAACGATTTTTTTTTGCTTCTAGAATGATAAATTATTATTACACTCAGAGGTTTGGTATTTCCTCCGTGGATTATGTGTATACCTACTTTAAGTCGTCCGTAATTAAAAGATGCTTTTTTCTGACATAAGTCCACGTGCCGGAGGGACGTGATAAAAATCGAATTATTTGCAAGTTAAAGAGCAGTTTCGAGGAATTTGTCACATTAATTTATAAAACATGGCTGTGGTTATAGTTTTTATAGCGTTTGATAAGTATTTAGCTTCTAAAAGCAGCGTATAAGTGATCAGTTCAACGTCAATTGCAACTGCATCTTACTGAAATAGCATTTCATTTTGTCAGGGTAGGATTTTTAAGTTCAGTCAGTTAACTCTGTTGTGGATAGTGACTGAGTCATTTAAAACCTGATTAACCGGCAAAACTCTTAATATACATCCAATTTTGTTATGAAAGATACAGCTTTTGTAAAGTCTTTCTTTTTTTGAAAATGCAGTAGCATATATGCCAACTTTCCCGGATACAGAGCCAATCTTCTGCTCTCCTGTATGGGTAACCAAAACTCCTGCATAAAAGGAAGTTTGGATCAGTTGCCCACAAAAAACTAGGATTTAAGCTCCATAAGTTCCAAAATTCCAAAATCATCTGGCTTCTTATGCTTTCATTATGGTTTCTGGCATCATTTTCTAGTGTGATGCACGATTGTACGGTTGTTGTTGCAAACAAAAAGAACAGAGTTTTTTCTTTGTTACACCTATATAAGCAAGAGTTTGATTGGATAAATATTCAACTAATTGAAGTCCCTGACAGATAGATCCACGTTTTTCCTGCAGAATTG